CTTTTGAAATAAGCTCCCCTTCAGTTTTTCAGGTCCTTTGGTTTCGGTTACTGTTTCAGTTAGTGGACTCCGGTGACAACGGAGTAGTAGACTGAAGAGGTAACTGCAGTGTCTCTATTGCAGGACATGCAAGTGAGCTCTAATCTTTAATGATGCTTCAGATATTTGTGGGGGAGGTTGAGGAAGAGGGACGGTTGGGGCTTAGTTGTACATGATACAATTTTATATATTTTTAGACAGAAATAAATGGGGTTTTTTTGTTGTTGTTGATGGAGAGAGGGTCCCTTTGTTTGTCCCAAATAATCACACAGAAACTGTATTAATTAAAACACTGCTTGCCGGGGCTGGAGAGATGGCTCAGAGGTTAAGAGCATTGTCTGCTCTTCCAAAGGTCCTGAGTTCAATTCCCAGCAACCACATGGTGGCTCACAACCATCTGTAATGGGGTCTGGTGTCCTCTTCTGGCCTGCAGGCATACACACAGACAGAATATTGTATACATAATAAATAAATAAATATTAAAAAATAAAATAAAATAAAACACTGCTTGCCCATTAGCTCTAGCCTCCTATTGGGTAACTCTCACATCTTGATTTAACCCATTTTTATTAATTTGTGTTCACCATGAGGTTGTGGATTACCGGGAAAGATTTAGCATGTCTGACCTGGCATCTCCATGGCGGCTCTCTGTCTCTGTTTTCTTCCTCCCAGAATTCAGTTCCTCCGCCTACCTAGGTTCTGCCCTATCAGGTCAAGCAGTTTCTTTATTGATTAACCAATGAAAGCAATACATAAACAGAAGGACCTCCTACACCATTTTTTAAATTACTAATATCTATGTTTCTACATACCATAGACTGTGCCACATAATATTTAACATTAGATTTACTGGATTGCTCATGAAGTTGGATATTTTCTCATATTTTTGCTGTTGACACTTGCATCTGCTGTAGCAGACTTAGTCTTAGGTAGAGTGGTTGTGAGTACTCTAAAATGATATTTAAAACAGTTCTTTTTCTCCTTGAAACATGAAGGCTGCGGGTCTTGCTAGGAAGATGCCCGTCTACACCGTCGTCCCTGCAGTTTCAGCTTTGCTTGCTATGTATTTCCTGTAATGCTGAGGCATATTTGCTGCCATTTGTATTCCATTCCAAGATAATGACTGTTACACTTCATATCAGCTTGGTAATGTGCCTTTCATTGTAGCAAGTTTGGAGGACACACGTCACAATATAGTGCAAACACCAGACGTCGCAAAAATTTATGAACCAAAGGATTATAGACCTAATAAAGGAATTTTTATAAAAACCATATTTGCCCCCATCTAAATTAGTTTCTGAGAGATTTGCTTTCTGAGTGCCTGTTAATGCGCTTGTGTTACCTGTAGCAGAGAGGCACAGCGCAGCACTGCTAGCAGCAGCCCGGGGAGTTCTTTCCTGCTTGATGGCCTCTACTCAGGTGAAGACTGACTGGTTGCACTGTGGGAAGGGTTTTCAGGAAAGTTTATTATCAGACACGGGGAGTCACAGCTTGTACCCCTGAGTTTGATAACAAGTTCATTAAATATTAAGACAGGGAGATGTGGGATGAGGAGGAGGCAGTAAACAATCCCAAAACAGGCTTCTCAAGATAGTCACTCTTAGCTGTCTTACAATGCCTGTTCGTGTGGTCTGGTGACTTAAATGATGTAATTTGCAAGGCTTAAACATTAATCAAAGCTTAGACTGGAAGTTTAAATATTAAGTAGAACTGTATAAGCTGGTTTACTATTTTTCTTTCAGAATTTTATTTTATTTTATTGATATTTATTGAGCTCTGCTCTCCTCCCTGCTCTCCCCTCTCCCCTTCAACCCTCCCCCAAGGTCCCCATGCTCCCAATTTACTCGGAGATCTTGTCTTTTTATACATTCTACTTCCCATAAATATTAGATTTATGTAAGTCTCTCTTAGTGTCCGCATTGCTGTCTAAGTTCTCTGGGATTGTGGTTTGTAGGCTGGCTTTCTTTGCTTTATGTTTAAAAACCACCTATGAGTGAGTACATGTGATAATTGTCTTTCTGGGTCTGGGTTACCTCACTCAAAATAATGTTTTCTAGTTCCATCCATTTTCCTGCAAAATTTAAGCTGTCGTTATTTTTTTCTGCTGTGTAGTACTCCATTGTGTAATCCTCATTTTTCTTATCCTCATCCAAAAAACGGTTCTCAGTTTTCTCCACTTTAATTGACATATAGCATGCAAAGTGTTTAGTATACTATCTGGCCCTGAAAATATTGGCTGGTGTTATCACTAATTGAGGAATTTAGTTGTGGCTTCCAGGATCCAAACAGACAAGCCCCGTAGTTCTTGAAATAGCCTGCTGACTGTTCTCTAAGCAGTATGGAGCTTTGCAGGTTCTTCTCCCCATGTCAGCTAACTAAGCATGAGCACTCGAATAGATAGTAAGCTTTTCAGCTTTAGAATGAGACATCTTTCTGTACATTGAACATGAATTAAGAACACATTAGTTCTTTTACTTCCCTCATACATATAAAAAATACATAAAAAGCAAAATGGACTGGAGAAATGCCTCAGCGGTTAAGAGCACTGACTACTCTTCCAAAGGACCCAGGTTCAATTCCCAACACCCACATGGCAGCTTACAACTGTCTAACTCCAGTTCCAGGGGACCTGACACCCTCACACAAGCATACATGCAGGCAAAGCACTAATGCTCGTAAAATAAAAATAAATAACATTTTTAAAAGAGAGGGGAAGGAGGGAGAGAGAAAGAAAAACACCACTGGGTGGTGTTGGCGGTGCTTGGGAGGCAGAGGAAGGCGGATCTCTGTGAGTTCGAGTCCAGCCTGGTCTGTAGAGCAAGTTCCAGGATAGCCAGAGATACACAGAGAAATTCTATGTCAAAAAAAGAAAATAAAAAAAGAAAAATATCACTTGAGAAACTAGAAATGCAAGAGCAACTTCATGATCAATACCGTGCAGTTCAAACTTCCTGTGAGAATGTCCGAGATGAGACATGCTAAGGGTGTGGTGATTGGGGCCGAGTTCAAATACTGGATTTTTTTTTTTTAAGAAGCAGCAAATGTTTACCAAATTTAACTTAGCTGATAGTGAATTTAGGGAATACGAAATGTTATTTTGTTGAAATTGTAGAAGAAGAAAGTGGTGGTTAGCAGACGCTGTAGCAGGGAAGCACGGGAATGTTAGAGGGTGCAGAGCTGCAGTTGCGCAGGAGTATATTCTGGTTCCCTGTCCTACAGCACTGTAACTCGTCAGTGAGAACATGTCATGTTAAATATGTGCTTACCACGGAGGTGCTGTATGTTATTTATGTTGGGGTGTGTGTGTGCATGTCTGTTCTGCAGCACAGTTCCATTACACTGGCCTGGCTGTCTTAGTTAGGGTTTCTATTGCTGTGAAGAGACACAGTGACCACAGCAACTCTTCTAAAGGAGAACATTTCATTGTGGTGACTCGCTTACAGTTCTGAGGTTTAGTCCATTATTGTCATGGTGGGACATGGCGGCGTGCAGGCAGACAGGGTGCTGGAGAGGGAATTGAGAGTTCCACATCTTGTTCAGGCAGCAGGAAATGGTCTGAGATCCTGGGTGTGACTTAAGCATATATGAGACCTCAAAGCCCGCCTCCACAGTGACCCACCTCCTCCAACAGGACCATACCTACTCCAAGAAAGTCACACCTCCTAATAGTGCCTTTCCCTAAGACGTTATGGGAGCCAATTCAAGCTACCACACTAACTGACCTAGAATTTGTGATGTAGACCAAGCTGTCATTGAACCTGGAGTCTCTGTCCTGCCCCTGCCTCCCAAATGGTGAGATTTTAGGAATGCCCCATCTTGTCAGCTAATTAGCCTGTTTTAATCATTCCACAATATATACGTGTGTAGGTTTACATAATTAATCTGTGTCAATTAAAAATAATTTGAAAAAATTTTTCATTTAGTTGGATATATGAAAACAAAACTGGGTTACTTTTTTAAATTTTATTTTGTGTCGAATGTTTTGTTTGCATGTATGTGTGTGTACCATGTACCTAGTACTCTTGGAAGTTAGAAGAAGGCAGTGAATCCTCTAACTGGAATTATGGATGATTTTGAACTACCATGTGAGTGCTGGGAATTTAACCCAAGTCCTGTAAGATCTTACACTGGACCATCTCTCTAGTCCTAGAAATGATTTTTTTATGGTAAATTTTTTAAAATTTGGAGATTTACTTGAAATTATTGTTTGAACATTGTTTCAAATTTGAGTATTTTAAAGATTGAGCAATATGTATGACTATTACAGTAAAATAATATAGATACTTAGGATAAATTAGAAGTCATGATATAGTCTGTTCATTAAGTTTATTTATGTATGGGAACAGCTACAGCTACATAATACTTGCCACTGCATGCCTGTGGAGGTTCAGAGACAGCTTCCAGGCATTGACTCTCAGAGTTGAACTCGGGTTGTCGCACTTGGAGTAAGCACTCCTTATCCACCATAGCATCTCACCAGCCCCGTTTGTTAATAGTAACTACAACTAGCTATTGTGGACTGGAAGCTTTACTGTTTATGCTATATTGCTTAATTTGTCTTATAGCTCATACATGTGATGCTGTCAAGTTATATTTTATTTACTGTTTATTATTCATTGTTTCAAATAATATAAAGCAACTACTTCTTTGCATGCATTATAACTGTCAAAACTACGTTGCATTTAAATATTATATGGGAAGCTGGGTGTGGTGGTGCACACCTTTATTATTCCCAGTACAGAGGAGGCAAAGGCATGAGGATCTTGGAGAGCCTCGTCTACATAATGAGTTCCAGGACAGCCAGAACTACAAATAGAGACCCTTTCTGAAAAATAATATTTATTGTTTGTGTGGCATAGTCAGCTGCAAATTTTTCTTGATTTGGATGTGTATATACAAATGTTTATTTGCTTTTCCCAGAGTTTAAGATTTATATTAATTTATAACTTTTTTTATTGCAGAATTGTACGAGTAAATGGGTCCAGTAATTGGAATGACTCCAGATAAGAGAGCTGAGACACCAGGAGCCGAGAAGTTTGCAGGACTAAGTCAGATTTATAAAATGGGAAGCTTGCCTGAAGTTGGGGATGCTGCAAGGCCAAAGGCCACTCTAGTGGGCACTGACTCAGCAGATGATGAACTAACAAACTTGAACTGGCTTCATGAAAATAGTAATCTTCTAACAAACTTCAGGCTTGGAAGTGAAGGTTTTCCAATGGTTAGTCCGTTGTATGACATAGAGGGAGATGATGTGCCAGCCTTTGCACCATCCTGCTACCAGAACCCAGAGAAAAAGTCAGCAACTTCAAAGCCCCCATACTCCTTTAGTCTTCTCATTTATATGGCTATTGAACACTCTCCAAATAAGTGTTTGCCTGTCAAAGAAATTTATAGCTGGATTCTGGACCGTTTCCCATACTTTGCCACCGCACCCACAGGCTGGAAGAATTCTGTTCGGCATAATCTATCCCTGAATAAATGTTTTCAGAAAGTGGAAAGGAGCCATGGCAAGGTCAGTAATGATAAACATCACTCTGTGCAATGGGGGAATTGATACAGGTCCATGAGATGTGGGGAAACCAAGGGACGCAAAGCCCAGTTAGGTTAGTTTGAGATTAATTATCTTCATCATTTGCTTTAATTTATGATGCTTTAAAATGTCATAGTGTTGAGAGAAACTTATTTTTCCAAATGAGCCTTCCTCATCCTGTTATCTACCCTCCCACCCCACCAGGAGTTGAAATTATGCTATGTTTGCTGTGTGAGTACCTTCTGCTGCTTCAGCCAATAGTCGCTGAAGCATGAGCCCCCGGAGCCAATAGTCGCTGAAATACCAGCCCACTGGGGTGTGGTATATTTCTCTTTTAAAAAGAGCCACAAGTCTCGGCTCGGGCCTCTTGGTTCCAGCACTTGGTTCCGGCTCCTGCTTCTGGCTCCGGCTTCAGCAACTAGGCTCCCTTCCTGACGGTTTATGGTGTATGTAAGTTTTACCCCCAAAATAAATAACCCCTTAAAGCATAACTGGTGTGGGATTGATTCGCCATTATTTGGCGCCCAATGTGGGGCCCTTTTCCCACCTCGTGGCACGGGCCTAGCAGCCTGAGCGCACACAGCACCTTGGCGGCCCTGCAGCCTTTACAGTATATGTTAGGTAAGCGTTCCACTGCATGGTATCCCCAGACCACCCGAGTTGTTTGTTCCTTTCTTTTTTGAGAGTGTATATGTCTCATTTTAAAAAGATTTTATTTTGGGGGGCTGGAGAGATGGCTCAGTGGTTAAGAGCATTGCCTGCTCTTCCAAAGGTCCTGGGTTCAATTCCCAGCAACCATATGGTGGCTCACAACCATCTGTGACGTGATCTGGTGCCCTCTCTGGCCTGCAGGCACACATGTAGGCAGATATTGTATGCATAATAAATGAATAAATATTTTTTAAAAAGATTTTATTTTTAATTGTGCGTGTTTCTGGGTTTGTGCATGAGTATAATATCTTCAGAAGTCACAACAGGATATTGAATTCCCTAGAGCTAGAGTTACAGACATTTGCAAAATGTTTAATGTGGGTGCTAGGAACTTTGGAAGGGGCAACGTATGCTTTTAACCACTGATTCATCTCTTGAGTTCCATGGAGTAGATCCCCCTTAATTTCTACAACTATATTAGTATATATGTTCTTTTTATTCCGTTTAACAATCTATCTCATAAAGTATAGCTCATTCATATTAAAGAATATGACAGGTATTATTTTTAATTTGCTTTATTCTCTGTTGTATTTTTTAAAATTTACTTTTTAAATGTGCTTTTAAAAATATGTTTTCTGTAGATATAGAAGGTATATAAAAGCACTGGTATATTCTGTATGAGTGAGAAAGGGAGACAGGCAGAGTGGAAAGAAACACTGAACATGAAGGTTAGTGAATGTCATAGTAGGCTACTTGCCCTTCATTCAGTTCTGAGGTCAGAACAAGGCTTTGATAAGGTTTTCCTTTATTTCATTTGTGATATGTACGTTGTTGTCCTGAACATGTCTCTATTTCCTATCAAAGGAGGGCCACACTTAGTACTACCTTTGGATATAGTTTCTTTCTTTTTTTGAGGGGGGGGTATTTATCATGTATGTATACAGTGCTCTGTCTGCTTATGTGTATGCAGGCCAGAAGAGGGCTCCAGGTCTTGTTACTGATGGTTGCAAGCTGCCATGTGCTTGCTGGGAATTGAACTCAGAACCTCTGGAAGAGCAGCCAGTGCTCTTAGCCTCTGAGCCATCTCTCCAGCCATAAAATTTCAATAAAGATGCAGTTTTGAACAGTCTTAACACTTGCCTCAACACTTATCTGAGTCTGCTGATTTGGTTTGACATTGTGTTGTAGGGTAAAACTAGCTTTAGGAATTAATTTTTCTTGATTTATAGAATTCATACTTGCCTGGATTGGTTTGCTTTACCCTTAACTTTTTAAACATTTTTAAAAATTCTTTTCACTGTCTTTTCAGTTTAGTGGTTTTGGGGTAAGTTCATCATTCCCAGGGTTTCACTTAGCATCTGGATGCTAATGACTCTTCAGTTTGTCTCCTAAAGGCCAGACCTAATTTGCAACTAATTGTTTAATTTAGAGTTATGTCTGATGGAATTTATATAAGTTGGACTCTATGTCTTCCTTCTCTAGGATTCAAGATTCTAAACTTGATGTTTGTTCTTTATGGTGCTTAGTTACTTGATTATAAAACTTGAAAGGAGTTTATATATTATCCTGAGGAATTCTCTTGTTTCATAACCAGTACATTGAGACCAGCTAGGTGTTCATGATCTGCAAAAACCAAGGTTAGAATATAGGAAATAAAATACCTATAAATTCTCAAGGGTCCTAGTTTATTTCTCATCAGTTAAAATGTACATATGTGTATATATATGCATATGTATATTTATAGTTTACATATACATGTATATGTGTATATTTATATAAATGGTAAAAATAACTTTAGAAATTTATTTTTGTTGATTTGCATTAATATATAATACCATGTTCATACTTGCCTGAATTCTTTTTCTTTACCATTAACTGTTTTTTGTTCTTTAAGAGAGGTGGGTATTTCAAGACAAGATTTCTGTGTGAAGCTGGTTGTCCAAGAACTTACTCTGTAGACCAGGCTGTTCTTGAACTCAAAGATCCACCTGCCTCTGCTACCCAAAGTGCTGGGTTTTTGTTGTTGTTATTTTGGTTTTTGTTTTACTTTTTCATTGTTGTCATATTATTAGTTTTGTGTTTTGAGATAATCTCATTTATCTATATATGTATGCATACATATATATAATATGCAGAGAGAGAAGTGGGGGAAGTCAGCATGAATAATTTGAATCAGATGTTCAAGAGCCAGGTATGTAACTTCATGAAGTTAGCCTCACAATAGCCTCATGTCACCACGAATCATACATTTATAAAACACAGTAGCTTATGGGATATTAATAACATTATAACTCACAGGGATGGAGAGATTACTGAGCCCTTAAGAACATTTGTGCTCTTCTAGAGGACCAGAGTTTAGTTCCCAGCCCTCATATCAGACAGCTCACAACCACCACTCAAGCTCCAGGAGATATTGATGCCCTCTTCTAGCCTATGTAAGCATACACATGACATAGCCACACCTACACAAATACATAAATAGTAAATCTTCAAATAAAAAGATTCTTAGAATAGTTTTCAGAATTCTCTCAATTTGATCTCTTTTTGATGCTTTTTTAAAAAGATTACTCCATGAACTGCCCCCTCCACACATTTTTACACTAGCTATTCCAGTATGTTGTGATCTTTATCTTATCCCATCTACATGTATTTTCCTGTTCTCTGTGGAGAAACCACTTCCTCACAGCCCAGCTCAGTAGCTCTCCTTAGGCACTTGCCGCTTTGGTATATCTATTCTGGGCTCCTATACTCCTTTGTTTGTTTCTGTAGTACATTTTGAAGGGACTGGTATTCGGCCCAAGACCAACTTCTCAGCCCAAAGGAGAGTTCTTTGCCTCAGAGTGACAAAGGGCAGGGGATAAAAGACAAAGACAGGAAATAGAGCATGAGGGAGAAAGGGAAGGAACAAGGGAGAGGGGGAAGGGATATTTGTCCTGGAGGGACAAAGGACTGCATTTGGATAGAGAGGGGAAAGATGGGAAACATAGGCAAATGATTGGCAGCTTATAAAGGTAAAAGGGGAAATCCCATGTTAGGACAACGTGTTTAATTTTGATTGAACAGGTCAATTAGGGTAGCCAAAGGCTTTTGATTGTTGGGCCTCAATACTTTGATAGGTGGATTTAGTAGCCAGCCTCAGGAGGAGGAAGTAGACAAGTAAGGGAGTAGACCTTGGTGGTTAGCTTTAGGAATGCAATCTAGAGGTTTTAGCGGGGCAGAGGGAATCAGAGAAGGACAAGGCCTGCCAGAGCCATGTTTGCCATACTTGGACTGTCCAGAGTCCCTTCACATATTATATCATAGCTGTGCACAAGTTTTTGTATCCCACCAGAGTGGATATAAACTGTCTATGATCAAGAAACTTAGTGCAGAAAAGTGACTTCCGCTAGTCTTTCCGTGCGGCGCTTTCAGTCTGTCGGAGCTCGGCTGTTCTCGACCCGCGGCAGGGCCAGCGCACCGCAGCCATGACAGAGGCTGATGTGAACCCGAAGGCCTAGCCCCTCGCAGATGCCCATCTCACCAAGAAGCTGCTGGGCCTTGGTCAGCAGTCGCGCAACTACAGCAGCTCCGGAAAGGAGCCAATGAAACCACCAAAACCCTCAACAGAGGCATCTCTGAGTTCATCGTGATGGCAGCAGACGCTGAGCTGCTGGAGATCATCCTGCACCTCCCGCTGCTGTGTGAAGACAAGAATGTCCCCTGTGTATTCGTGCGCCCTAGGACGGGTCTGTGGGGTCTCCAGACCCGTCATCGCCTGTTCTGTTACCATCAAAGAAGGCTCCCAGCTAAAGCAGCAGATCCAATCCATCCAGCAGTCTATTGAAAGGCTCCTGGTGTAGCCTGTGGCTCTGCCCTTCCTGTCTGCTCCCACCCTACTCTGTATCATACCGTCTGTTAGCATGTAGTGTTTTCGGCCAGTTTCTATTATAAATATTGTACTACATCTGGTTTCTGTATTTTTTATAGTCTTACAGGGTTGTTCTGTCCCATCTCTCCATCCTCTACTACCATTTTTTAATCTGTTTCACTTAATCTAAGTGAGATGATATCTAAGTTAGGTGAGAGGCAGAACGTCACAGTTTAACAGTGGGAAGAACCAGGAAAAACCTAAGCCAAGGATAGTGTCTATTTTCATCTGCAAATTCATTCCTCTGTGCAGGACAAGATGACAGTAACACTGGTCTCTCATGCCTTTGCATATGAGATCTCCATAAATGCTACCATGACTGAAAATCTTTCTTTGGGAAGCAGCCCCTCCCACCCACTGTCATTTGAAGAGAAAGTCTGATAATGTTAAACCTACGTCCAAGTGCCATTTATTAATGTTGTGT